TTCATATAAAATCAAATTTAAATTTAGGTTAATTGAGGTTAGCATGATCAACATGAACTTTATTCCAATGTTGAATATTAACTCAGAGCTTTAACAGTTGCTAGTGTTCTCAGAGTAATAAATTTACAAATACTACTAATAAAAGCTCCTATTTACAAGTGGTCACCGCAGTGGGTGGATGTTTGATTTGGCAGCTTTGCCCTTCTTGATGCAACTCATTAAGAGAGAACATTTGAAAGAACTAAACATCATTTAATGTAGAACACAGTTTTAATAAATGCATTATTTTGTGATTAGACAACAATGTAGCTACATAGCAGAGCGAGAACAACACTGACAGGAAGTAGGGCAGGACTCCCAAAGCCTTAAAACATGCTGGCAGAAATGTAGCAGATGGAGACTTGGACGACTGATAAGGATGAGGTTGATGTTGGGAGGAGCTTTACAGCACGAATGGGAATCCTGCAGGCAGAATGACAGAAGAGCAGTGAGATTTATAGCACATGTGACAAAAACTGATTGGTTTGCAGGAGCAGGGCAACAAAAGGATTGGGCCCGAGTGATGACGACAGCGTTGAGTTTGACAGTGTGGGAATATGGAAGTAATGTAAAGAATAGACCAGCAGCCACCCAGGAAATCAGACAGATAAATGAATAGAGATCTTCTTTCATTTCATTAGCTGGCCACCAATTAGTATACACATCAGTGTTATCACATCAAATTATCAGTCAAAGTTGCAATGGTTTGTTAATCTATTTTGTTCAGTAATCTTTGAAAATAACCTTAATATGTAAGTACAGGGTATTATATAATACCTTATTATATTGTGTACAGGGCATTAAGTAGCCTCTTTATGACCACATAAAGGGGCTACTGTTACAGGGTTGTAGTATGTCAATGATATCGCCACATGCAAAAGTACATTGCTAAAAAGCTTTTAAGCTAAAACTTGCATCAGCATCTCTATACACAGGCTTATAACCACAACGTTTGACATAGTTCATTGCGGTCATGCGTAAAGCAGTGGGATAAGAATTTTTACCTCCAAGTCCGAGTCCATAGCTCTCAGTCATGAGTTGCTGCCCAATGTGGAGGACTTAAAATATCTCAGGTTCTTGTTGACATGTGAGTGAACTTGGGTATTTTATTGTATTGTTTACTCCTACCCTTATGCTGTCACATTATGCTTATATTTCAGATAGGTCTTACCACCTTACACATTCCTATGGCGTTTAATCTATTTTAAAACAACCAGTATAGTTCATTCAACTCATAGCACTTGGTGCTCGACCAAAAAGCTAAGGTGTGCACCCCTGGTGTGCTTGACTCGCTTCTTTTCTTTATTAAGTGGATTAACCTGATCTAGCTTTACCACACCCTTTTGTGTCAGCACCGTCTTGATCGGGTAACTGTAATTACATGATCTAAAGATGCCTCTTGTGGGAGATGTTGCCCTCTACTGTCAGTAAGGAGAGATATGTGCTTAGCCAGGTTAAATCTTTAGTAGGAACACTAAAATAATTGTAAGCTCTGAACAGCATGGCAGGAATTCTTCATGGGAAAAAAAGCAAGCTTTTCTGTCAGCTGCTATTAGCCAATTTAAAGCCTGATGAATGCAATATTTAAATTATATGCCATTTGCTTCATTAAAAAATTGCAGCATTAAAAAAAGATGAAGATAAAAGATGAAAATGAAAAGATGAAATGTAGATTTAATGGTGCTACATCAAGCGTATATCACTACCTTAAATAGCAGGGGGAATTAAAGTAAGCACACATACACTGATACACAATTTTAAATTCACAAACACTCATGTTTGTGAATCAAGTTGTCCAAATCAAGTGGTTCGGACTCAACATGTTGACTAGTGCCCATAAAAATATATTCTACATCAAACAGACAATTAAAAAGAAAAATGCCCCGATATAGAAAAATGTGTTTTAAAAAGACAGAGGAGTTTCTGTTTTGTGGGCAAAAAGTGAAGTCTTACCCATCACCTTGTCGACCACCAGCATGCACTTACTCAAATAAAAAACAATCGGCTCAGAAAGAAAAAGAAAGACAAATAATACATAAACCAACCTGCTTGTTCATCAGCACACAGATAACAGGACTGTGCACTGTTAACCTCTAAAGGTGATGATGGCACCGAAGGGAGATTCAATGCAGTGAAAGTGGCACACGGTATCCAAAGTACTAGACGCACATCATGACGCACACACATCTCACTTCCCTAACAGTCTTCTGGCTGTAATCCTGTTACTGGGCTGCAAAGTAAAGTGTCTGAGATAAGATCCTATGATCAGCATTTGCAACAGTTTACCAAAGATTTAATTAAAAAGCAGCTATAATGTAAATCTTTTTGTTTGAGGATTAGTTATGTGATGTGGCTTCACTCCACATCAGCCACGCCTCACTTACTGACTAACACTGCAAAACAGAATTGTTAAAGTATTAATTTTCATTTCAATTCAGGTTAGATTTTTTTTGTGCGCAACCCAGATTTTCTGTGCGCAGAGACCATGCCAGCAGTGGGCAATTGCGCACACGCGCAACTTAGAGGGAAGTGCTCGTATATAATATTGTGAAAAAGTAAGACTTACAACAAGCACTGCATCTCCAGTAAAACCATAATTTACACTGCTGGCTTCATAATTTGTTTGATGGATTTCAAGCTTTTCCGAATCTTAGCTGTCAGGTTTTATACATGCCTGTGCCATAGTATAGTTTGGCCTGTTCATACTGTTTAATACTTTTTTCATACTTTTTAATTGCTCAATAAAATAATGGTTTCATAAGGTGTTTTAGGTTTATAAAGGTTAGAAAGTGATGGTATCAGAAACGCAAATATTCAGGGGCCTGAATACACATGTGTGCTAAGTTTGGTAGGGTGCAGACAAAGAAAGAAACAACCAAACAGAAAAAATGTCTTCATATTTTGTGTCCAACAAGCACAACTTTCTGTTCATCTTTTAAATTTTTTTTTACTTTGAGTGTAAGTTCTCCAGACTTAATGGCTGTTTTCTGAGTTATTCTTTGGATATTGGCTGATTTTCCACAAATTTTTTGTCCAGTCCTTGTACCTGACCAATCTCAAAATAATTTTTTGTTTGTTAATCCACTTAAAACAATGTAGTTTGTTGTTGATTTTTTGTTGTTGTTTTGGTTTATGAACTTAAATTATTTTATGTATGTATTGTATATAGGTGTAGACTTGTATTTAGTTAAACATGTATGGATTAAAAAAATGTTGAATTCTGAATATTGATTTGTAAATAATGGAATTTGAAATAAGCGGTTAGGAACAGTAAAAGAAAAAAAACTGTCTATCTAAAAAAGAGCTCCTAACTCAAGGGACAAATCAGTTGTAAGTCTACATTAAAAAGCAATTCAGCAAAGAATTAATTTTAAACTGTATCTTTAGTCATTTTTTTTAACTTACAGCATTTTCCAGAAAAGCCATCATTTGCTACAATTCAAAGTCATGTCTATAAGATCCCTGTCATCAGTGGTGATCTTATCAGATTGATGGAATTATAAATACAGATAATGACATTTTGACTCACCATGCAATAACAGGTAGTAAGCACCTGTGAACAGCTTAATTTTAGCACGGGAATGATCCCAAGTGCACTGCCAGTGCAGTAAAAGCATACCTGAATAAAAAACGAAAAATCATCCTGACAGAGAACAGAACAAAAGGCAGCCAACATCTAAAGAAGAGCTCTGAATGCCCTTCAAGAAGACTGCAGAATTATTCCTGAAGCCTTCTTAAAGAAAAAAGAAGAAAGTTTGCCTATGAGAGTTCAGACTGTGCTGAAGAATAAATGTGGTCATAACAAATACTGACCTTCAATCTTGTTACAATTGTACATTACCTAAGCTGCAACATGACTTCTACTGAACCTAAAGCTTTTCATGTGTTTCAAATGTGCATTGGCAAAGATTTCAAGAACTAAACACTGAGTATAAAGCAGTTGCTATAATTAAATGCCTTAATGGTCTTGCTCCCCCACACCTTTCCGAGTTACTTCAGCCTTATATTCCTTCATGGACCCTCAGGTCAGCTGACCAGTGGCTGTTGGTTGTCCCAAAATCAAGGCTTAAACGTAGAGGAGAACGAGCCTTTTCAGTTATGGCCCCAAAACTTTGGAATACGCTGCCTTTAAATATTAGACAGGCATCTTCGTTTCCTGTTTTTAAAATGCTTTTGAAAACACACCTTTTTTTGATAGCGTTCAGACTGGCTTGAGTTGATATGGTTTTTATGTGTTTTATTATGTTTTATGTGAGTGTCAGTGATTGTATCTTGTGTTTTACCCTGTGTTTCTGTACAGCACTTTGGGCAAACTTTTTGTTTTTAAACTTGCTATATAAATAAACTGGATTTGGATTTGGATTTACATGACTAAGTGTTTCTGCAGCAGTTCCAAATGACACATTCTGTTCTTGTTTCAGCAGAAGCTTTACAAAGGATTACTATCAGTATGACTATAGTGTGATGACAGCTATTCTCAAATGTGCAACTGTGACTTGCATGTTCCACCTTGGTATATTTTTTGGAACTAGCCGGGCTACTACTTCAGCTAGCCATAATTTGCATTAGCTAAATCTTATCTTTTGCTCAAGAACATAAAGTTTGGAATTTAATTGAAAATGTCCCTTAAATGTGTGATGTTCTGCTTTGGTTTTAAGCAGCAAATAATCAAACCAGCATGTAAAAGTTAAGCAACCACACCAGTATGTTTCTTTTTATGCATGCATTTATTTTATCTACTCAGTCCTATATTTTTTTTTTCCTTTTCATATAATGCATAAAAATAACACCACTGGTAGACCAGTGAAATATATGCTCCCCCAAGTAATTGCATGAAAACAATCAACATGTGATTGTACATTCATCAGGTACAAGTGTCACATTTCAGCAGGTTTACGGTTTGAGGTGTTTTTCGTTTACAAGTTCACTCATATTCATTCTCTCAAATGCTCACACATGCACACAGACACACAATTGCTGTACAACATCATCCCAACAGAAAATGCATTTGCCTTTCTGTTAGTTCACAGATAACATAGAATTCCTTAGTGTTTTTGGTCCAGACTCCATTTGTTAAATCCATTTGGCAAAAGGATTCTAATGGGATGTTTTAAAATCTGGAAGCAATCATCAATGTCCATAGATCTGAAGATGCCATCATGATTAAGACACAGA